TTAGAACGTTGAAAATAATCACCACCATAATTAGCGTCCATATATAGTTTAATAGAACAAGCATTATCATAGACAACACCGCGTGGAATCATTGATATTTTTGCCATACGAATTAAATGTCGCAGCAACCGACGCGGTGATTCTGAGCGTATGGATTCGTCAAAACCAACTACAATACCACAGTTTAGAAATGACATGAGAATACCATATGAGGATTTTCGGCCGCTATGATTCATCAATTCATGACGCTTAATATTACATTGATCAATGCCGTTAAGATCATCACTCTTCTCAAATCGTAACGCATCTTCATTCGTATCAAGATTAAGTTGCTCAATATGTTTCGGACACAAATGATGAGGGTTACGACCATCTGTAAATAAGTGAAAAGAAGTAGTAACAAATTATGTTAGAGCGACTTTAAACTCTTTACCTATATTTCTAACACTGGAATACGGACAACCAACAAGTACAGGACCTAACTCATTGATAGTATTATCGAAACAATTATTAAACTTGCATATAGGACGATCTGGTTTTTGATGGCCATCTACCACTAAACATATAGAACATGTGTCACTGCACACCGGACCAAATATCTTTTTGTGTTCCATCCAAAAACGTACAAATGCAGCATAGCAACGATCTTTCCATTGATAAAAAAACGTATTAACATCATCAGCATTTCTAAACGACATCGGGATTTCAATGCGATCAACTTCGATAAACATGAAAATAAATTTTATAATTTCATACATTAAAAAATTTATTTGAAAATGTTTCTCGTCCATTTTGCGACTTTGTTTAATAACAGATCTGGAACCACTTGTACTGCCACTGAACGAATACTTTTGATATGTATCTAGTTTATCATTGTACCATTTAACAAAACCCGATACAGATGAACACATGCTCAATAATGCTGATGCAAATGATATCATAACACGTTGGTGATAGACAGTTGATGTACCATGAAAATAGATGAATTCACTAAACTTGAATGATTCGCGCGTGACAAAATTACACTTTGAACCGCTGTATGATAGACTATTACAATAATAGGAACACTTGCAACCGATACAATAACCATACCAAACTGAACATGTGTCAACACTGGACTCATCAAATAATGTAAAATTATTTAATTCGTAGAGTTTCAATTGCGGACGTTCAACACATTCCACACAAACACGAGTAAACGGCATAATATATTTGAACACAATACATGCTTCTGTTAGTATTTGATATTCTTTGATGGTTGCATCGATACTGATGTTTAATTGAAGGTATTTCGAATACAACGGTGAAGTGCGAAAAGTTTCGATCAATATTCTCAAATCCTTCAATGAAAATGAAATATCATATTTATGTTCTGGAATTTATGTTCTGGAATCGAACTTCTGGCTAAAAAAGTCCATATCTTCTCAACGAAACGTCGAAGAGATCTGAAAGTGATCTTATTTTGGAGAGGACACTTCGCTCTAGTATGCACTATCCTAACTCGAAAGCCGTCGTTTTTCTAAGAAGAGGAGTATGTTTAAGAGCATCGTCTCCAAAAACAAACAATAAAAACGTAATTCGGTTAAATAAGGGGTGTGAAATCACCAATGATCTGTAAATTCTAAGAATTCAGAGTTTGCACTGCAATTAGTCCTTGCTTACTGAGATATTGCTCATTTATTTGAATGCTGCGACAATCCCGGATAAGCGACTCAGAATATATCTTTTGGATGATTCTAAACAATGTCGTCCTAGATGTAGGATTATATGTAATGGAACTCCTATCTAAGAAGTGGAAGGTGAACAAGGGGAAAAATCTGATTTCAACTGTGTGCACTTATGACCGAAGTGTCACTTGAAGTGCCGAAGTGACACTTTAAGAGTGTGAGTCAATTTTAGAGCGAATGTAGTATTAGTTATATTTTGCTCTTTTCTGACCGTTTTTCTCTTCTCTGCCGAAAATCGCGATCCGAACTTCGAACCTTCCTGTAAGAAGAATTAGACTTTGGTTAAAAACCAACAGTCTGATATACCTACTATCGGCACCAAAATTCAATGCATCTGTTGTTTTTCGAATAGCTTCAAAACGATAAAAGATAGGGACTTGCGATTTTCAACAATCGAAAGAAGACAGTTTAACCTATGTTTTCATAAGCAAAACCCTTTTCCGAAACTATTCGGAAGGAGATCTTTGAAAAAGCACTTAGGACCTCCGGAAACTCAGATAACAATCTATCAGTTTTTTTCCATAGATAGACAGCCCAAAGTGTCCTCTTCAAATGCGAACTAAGTGGACTAATTTTTCCTGGTTCAGGCGTGGCATAGAATTGGCTGAGAGTCCCAGGCATTTCTTAGGTATGGTAATTCCAAAAATAATGGAAACATAGGTAACGCTGAATCTCATGACAATATTTGTTTTTCAGAAAACCTCGAACAATCCAGTGAAAACCTATATTAGGTGGAATAACACATTTTTGTCTATTTTCGAGTAGAATTAAAAAATGCATAATACAGTCAAAATCAATCTAATTATGTCAGAATATCAAGATGTACTCTATTTTACCTGCTCAATACTATGCAGTTCAATAAAAGCTTGAAAAATCAAGAGAAAATAAAATAAAATTTTTAAACAACCTTCTACTTATGAAAACATGTTTAGAGTCTTAGCAACAAGATGGTAAAATCTATAGGTCGCTGTCTATCAGTGTGATTGGGTTATTCCAAAAGTAACCGATGATCTTGTATTTTGGGACCGATAGTAGTGTTCTTCTGACTGATCTCGTTGTGGAGATAAAAATAACGACACTCATAAATTTAACGTGGAATACAAACTGAAATTTGAATCCATCCAATTCTCTGTTATTATCATTCACTCTTCCCTTTTCCTCATTTCTCTTTTTTACGTCTGTTCACTCACTTGTTGATTATTTCTGTTCTCATTCTTCATGAATCTTTAGTTCATCATTCAACATTTTGTCACCAGGTAAGAATGTTATACTGAGCAATAGCTCGTCTATGTTCTTACTTGTATTATTATTCTGAATAAAGTTTATATGAAAAGAAAAACAAAATTATTGTTCTAGTTCACCACAAAATTCTTGACTTTTTCTAATTCTTTGTCTTCACTCTTTTTTTCTTTTTATGTACGATTTTACTCGACAAAGACAGATTTAACATTCGAAGTAGTCATAATAAACAACACTTTTCAAGGATATTTTAAGGAATAAGAATTCTATAAAATAAAAAAAATAAACCTATATATTTTTCTTACGTGCACGTTGTTTAATTTTAGTGTACTGTAGTACCTAATCAGTAGTCAAGAACGTTGCACCAATAAAAATCTGTTGAATCACTACAACTGTCGACCTGAATAAGAAGGACAAGAATAGAATACAAGTGGAATATGTAAAAAGCAAAACGATCCTGTAGCTTTATTCTCATATCGATCATACGTCAGTTCTGATAATGTTTACTTTTAAATAAGAAAAAAAACTTTGTTTGTACATCTGTCCGTTAAATCTGTAAAAGCTGACGGAAAACGATGATTATATTTCTTTTGTGACACTTTATTCCTTTAACTGAATAAAACGAATCAAGTATAATTAGTATGCCATATGGAAGCGTAAGTGAAATCAACCTTGAAACTATTTACAATCTTTTTCGGTTGTCTTCACTGTATAAAAATTTCAGTTTGTATTCCACGTTAAATTTATGAGTGTCGTTATTTTTATCTCCACATCGAGATCAGTCAGAAGAACACTACTATCGGTCCCAAAATACAAGATCATCGGTTACTTTTGGAATAACCCAATCACACTGATAGACAGCGACCTATAGATTTTACCATCTTGTTGCTAAGACTCTAAACATGTTTTCATAAGTAGAAGGTTGTTTAAAAATTTTCTGGCAGTCCGATTTTTGGAAAACCTGCTCCGTTCTCAGAAAACTAAGATATAAAGTTAGTAATTTTTTTCTATGCGTAGGTAGTCCGGACGTTACTCTACAAAATTGTGCAAGTCCTAGATCTTCAGCTAGCGTTGTTCGAACAAGGCTCGCTTTCTCCGAGCGCATGTCTATCTCCGAGCAGGCACCTCTGGGAATCTCGAAATGCCATAGAATATAGGTAATTGACTACCCCGAGCATTTGTTTATGTGTAGAAATGAAGCGGCATTTTTTTAAAAAACTGGTTTCTCGCCTGTTACGAGCAAAAATTAAAATCCTTATTTCTCGGTCGAATCTCATGCTGACTCAAGGAAACTTTCAGGCAACGCTCAGGACAGTCCATGAATCATAATAGAAGACGAAAAAGGCGAATTTCAGCTGGGCCTTAGTTTAAGGTTATCCAGAAACCTCCCGAAAACCGGAAAGTCTCAAAGCTCTGCTGGACCACTTTTTCGACCCGATCAACAATATATGACGCCTTTTGAGTCTTTCCTGAGCCCGAAATGTCATTGAATCAGCATGAGATTTGACCGAGATGTAAAGATTTTAATTAAAAATTTTATTTTATTTTCTCTTGATTTTTCAAGCTTTTATTGAACTGCATAGTATTGAGCAGGTAAAATAGAGTACATCTTGATATTCTGACATAATTAGATTGATTTTGACTGGATTATGCATTTTTTAATTCTACTCGAAAATAGACAAAAATGTGTTATTCCACCTAATATAGGTTTTCACTGGATTGTTCGAGGTTTTCTGAAAAACAAATATTGTCATGAGATTCAGCGTTACCTAT